ATGTGAGGCACTGGGGCCTTGAGACAGGCAAACCAGAAAGAATGAACGCTAATAGGTAGTCATACTTCTGAACGTCCCACCTCAGCATTTTTTACTTGTAAAGCTCTTCTTACCAAGCTTGTAGCAACAGCAGTTTTTTTCTAGTATGATTGAAACCAAGGACTTCGGTAAGACAACATTGCTCCATGTGATGGACACTTGGTAGCCTACCTTGGCTCTGTTTTGTATCATAATATTATAGAATCATCCCTCTCTAGCCTGCCTGAGCAGTGGCCTTACTTTAAAATCTTGGATAGTGAAAACTAAATGCCTTTCCCTCCATGGGACTAAGCCGTGACAAAATAGGAGCCACAGGAGACAAATTCTGTCTGCAGACTTAACAAGAGCAGGGATGTTTAAAGACTGGCTTTTAGAGTAATGTGATCTTATTTCGGTGGTGCAGTTTGGAAGTGCTGTAGTGTCACCTGTATCGATAACAGGTTACCTGCAGTGAAAAGCCCTGCAGTTCAGCAGCAGTGCAGGCCACATACATGTGAGTAAATAGAGGAAGTTTATTCCTGGAGCCCCTCTGCTTATACTTCTCCTCCACCCTTCAACCTCCCCAAACCCAAGAGTTTTCTCCCTCTTTGCCCAGAACCCTTCTGGATCTGCTTCTGGTGGTGTGAGGCTCGTTCTAGGGTTCTATGAGGACTGACTTTTAGGTGGGCACACTTTGGAAGAAGTGTTTATTGTCTGAAATATGGGCTTCGCAGCTGAAGCATGGTGTAGAAAGCCCAGAATCAGATTGCTTTTAAACTGTTGTGAGCTGGTGGAAGGGTCAGCTCTAGCTGATTTGCCCAAAAGGTCTCAGATTTCTGCTGTTATCTGTGTCTTTTTCAACAGTCTCCATTTGCACTACGTACAAGCAACAAATGCACCGTTTTAGTTCAGGTTTGCAATAACTTTATTAATATTCAGAATCCTCTATTAGTAGGACTTATTTAAAAAATATAATACATGTTTGCATCAAATATACTTAGTTTTCTAGCGCAGAGAATCACCACGATTTTTTTGAAATAGACTCTTGCTTCCAGCCGTGGTTTGTACTTGATTATTCAGAGAAAAGCAAAAGAGAAAATAAAGCATTTGGTTCAGCTCTATCTCACATGAAGGTGAAACACAGTAACTTCACAGAAGTCAGTGGGCAGGATAAGTCTTCCCTGGTACAAAACTGAATAGAGTACATTCACAGTCAGCCTGAATTGCTCAAGGTCATCCCTTAGTGAGAGTATCTGTACATCATGGTACACTGAGACTAGAGTTAGAACTAATAGTGCAATACTACATATAGAAGTAGAAGGGCCAAGGATTTCCTTCTGAATGTTGCACTGGTCAGGTAATGCCCTGATGCACGAGATTACTTTACTTGTAGCTTATATAGTTATGAGTAACCATTAAATTATCAAGAATCTTTTCAAAGCCAAGCACTTGCTGCAGAACATGCTGATCTCTGTCAGCACTGGTTTACACACTGATCCAGCTCCATGGGAAGTGATCTTCTTTCCTTTAGCATGTGAAACAGTCTGCCACTCGCCCTTAAGTGCCATGCTGGTCAGAATAGCAAGGGACGTTACGACACGTATAAGATGATGTCTACGTTCGGTTGTAAATAATTGTTAGTATGCATTTCGGAAAAGAAACAGTGTAACAGAGTCCAGCTATAAAATGAAGAAGCCACATTCAACCAGCGGTGAATAGATTATGATGAGTTCATGTTTGTTCAGAGATTTTATTGCTATTTAATAAATAGGAATTACAAGCAGATACTCAGGCTTTCTTCCCTGTTATGGGCAGGGCTGACGATGCTTCCATTTTGTTGGCCTTACATGCTTGCCTAGGGCAGAATTATTTGCCTTTGGTGCTACGTTTCTGGTCTATCTTCTTTATAGCAGTCTGTACCCATTTCTGATCAGGGTGTACACAGATCTTGATGCCTTTTTCAGTGATAAACCTGCAGGAAGGGAGAAAAAGCCAGGCAGCCATTAAACTCTAGTCTTCAAATTCAGGTTTAATGCTTTTGGTTTTTATGCAGAATGAGAGGACCAATGTGGTAAAAGCATCTTACGGGCCTGAGTTTGTAGTTGTTACTTAGAATAATAGCAATTAGCAACATCAGTTCCCTGTTCATGCCATATGCTCCACCCCAACCCCTCGCTGAGATTTCTTCCCGCTTTCTGGGTCAGAAAGCTCTGGCTGTTCCGTCAGGTTTCTACCAGCTTCTGCGAGCAGCATAAATCCCCCAGCATGATCTCGGAGGCTCACCCCTCCTCAGTCGCCCACTGACTGCTTCATGGGGGAGCTGCAGTGGGAAAGCTGAATGCAGGAGGCTGATGTGGTGAGCAGGGCAGTGAAGTGTCTGCTCTTCTGTCGCCCTGCTCTTTTGTGATGGTGGCATGCCTGCGCAGACGAGTGTGGAGGCGATCAGCGTGCCAGATACTCACATGATGGCGTTCACTGGGACTTGTTGCTTTTCATAGTTGACGAGCTGTCTGATGTTCAGCCTCTGTGTGGATAGGTTTACGCATGCAAATTTGCGCATGGGCTGACTTCCAGCGCTCCCTAGGAGGGGGTGAAAAGATAAATGGCAAGAGCTTCAATAACGTGTTCACAACCAGGCATAGTTATTACTTCTAAATTGTAAGTCCAAACAGGTTTTCAGTTTTGGTTAGAACATCAGTGCCTCTCCAGATGTACAAACGGAATACCACTTATACAAGAGAGCTCAAGGTGTCTTTTGTGAGCTGTCCTACTCTCTCTAAACTGTCATTGCTGTTTTAATTAAGATACTAATGCTCACCCAGCCTCTTCGACAGTAGCATATCGTTTTGTCACCAGTGAGTAGCTGCTTCCACTAGCAGAAATGATATTTGGCATCATGCATGGTGCCGTGATCTGTATCATCTGCATGTAAGTGTCCACATGGAGTTGCACTTGGAAGTGGCAACTTTTCTGGGTCAATTTCAAATGTCATCTGAAAGTGGATCAATATTATTACCCCTACTTTCCAAGTGAAGGAAAGGATGTTACTCTGTTTCACACTGGACATCCAAAACTAGCAGCAGCCAAAAAAAAAAGAAAAAAAAAAGAAAAAAAAAAGAAAAAAAGGCCCTGTTGAAAGAAGGGTTTATAACTGCCAGAAGGCAAAATGCTTGCATATTCTTCCTATAATGCTAATTTTATAGACAATGGAGAGCTGCCTAATCCTCTCTTCCATCCAACATTTGTCTACCTTCCAGGGAAATGCCCTGATGATTAAAACTGGAGGAAAGTTAGTATAAAATTCTCTGGGCAGCTATCACCTCACATGGTGATAACTAAAAGTGGCACCTCATTTAAGTGAGATGGAGTATACATATACATTTTATATTACCGCTTGCTAGTTTCTGGCTTCCTCCACTTTTCAAAGACAAATTTGAGGAGGCATGAGGGGGACAAGCAGAAATCTCGGAGTACAGCATTGTATTCTTTCTGAAGTCTTCACTTTGAAGACTTTATAGAGAATCAGGCTTGAGAAAAGTGCAAGAGCTGTACAAGTACAATTTGCAAAGTATAAAAGCTGCTTCATATAATCTCATTGGCTGTGAGGTTTTCTTTGTTTGAAATAATTGGAATAGGTCAGGGAATCACACATCAGCCTCTGGAGATGCTGTAGCATAACCAGTGCATAGGTACTGGCACAGTTGCTATAATTCTTGGATTTCTGTTGGCCTGAAGGAACAGTCATGAGCAGCTCAATGTATTTTCTCATAATTCAGTAGAAATACGTATCTGCATCAGCTAGATTGATTTCCAAAATACGGCAGCCACTAAAGAGTTCAAAGATAGTCAAACAATCCTTAGCATCCCTGAAAATATTCCATCTTCTGCTAGACCATCTCCAGAGGATATGCACAGGGAGTACAAATAAAGCTTCCCTAAGCCTGGGAACAAACTCCAACTGCCCTGTGGGACAAAATCTGCACCTGTAACTACCCTTTTTCCCGTTTTTCCCTACTTTTTATCATTCCTCTTTCTAATCCTTTACATGCTACCTCTGTGTGCTGTTTCACACCTGGGTGATGTTTATGGCAAATTATACATCCTGGAGAATGACATTACAAGCTGACAGTCTGTGATACCAAGGCACGTGTTGCTGAGATGAGCAGCACTTGTACTAATCAACACTGAAATTTAGTGTGATCTACTTCTAGTAGCAGTAGGTCAACATCCTCAATGAGTAGCTACATAATTTTGTGAATGCTTTGAAGATCTCAGTTTGGTTTTGGTGTGGTTTTGTGAAGATGCCTTTTCTGTGTGTTCATCTTTGCATATTTTTGTGGGTTTGCATATGGCTTGCATATGAGTGTTTTCTGTGATTTTTATGTGCTTGTTTGCATGAATGTAGGTATATGTAGACATGTGCTTATGTGTGTGTGTGTTCATGCGTTAGCGTGATACGCATGGCCTCATTCAGAAGTCAGACCTAAATATCATTTCAGACAAACTCATTAAAATATGGGAGGTAATGCTCATATATGGTCTCAAACAAGATGTCAAATTATATGAAACTGAGATATAAGACATTGTATAAATCAGTTGCTTTCCTTTGCAGTTTTTGTTTTTTAGTTTACCCATCCATACCAAAATATTTATAAAAATATTTGACTAGAAACAAGTAGATAGGTAATATGCAGTACAAAACTGGAAGAAATTTTAAAAATGAGGATGTTAGCAGGATTAGGACTATAGGGTTAGAGAAGGACAAATAAGAAGGGATATAACAAAAATACATAGTGAAGTAGCGTATCTAGAAAAAGGAAAACACAGTGCATATGTAACTGGCTGAGGAAATTATTTTCAAAAAATATGTCATTGACCCATGGAAGTCATTGCCATAAGGCACCAGTAGGATTAAAATATATTACCTATATTTATGACTACAAGGTTTCACAGTTATAAGAAGGCAAATAAGGCACAGAAACCCTCCTTCCATTAAGACAGAAGCCAACCATTAATTGATAGGGCATAAGATGGCATCTCCCATAAGTCTCCTTAGGCTGTAACTGCATTTCTTGTGGGTTTGATCTGGATTTCTTACACATTAGATCTTATGAACAGCTCTGGCTGAGAATGAGTCCTGAACTCATCAGACCGCTGGTGCAATGTAGTTGGGAATTGCTATCTTCCTATTGGGTTGAAAACTTACCTCTCACTGTGTGGACAGTGAAGACACCAAGCCAAAAGATGACCAGGATAGCTGCAGCTTGGAGTTTCATTGCTGGTGGCTTCTTCGTCAAGGCAGAGAAGAAAGTGGTTAGTGTGAGCCCCCTTTCATGGAGTTTATATATTGTCATTCACTGGTCAGTTCTCATGTTCACTGTAGGGGGGGCGTCATGGGAGGGCTGACTAGAAGTGGAAAAAATTTAGCAGAGGTACTTTTTCTGGTGACAGAGAACCACCCCCTTTCCCTCACCCATCCTTTACTAGTCCCCCTGTGAAGGCTTTTCCTGCTCAAACCCCACTGTGGTTGCACTCGCTTCTGTGTTGCAGGCTGAGTTTATTTCAGGCTGCAGAAAGTGAGAGCTCTCATTCTGCAGTGGAAACCTTTAATAAATGTTCCTGTCCTTTCACACCTAGAGTCAGAGAGTGTCAGCTACACCCCACCACAGAGGCACAGAAAGACAGTCAGAGTTACCTCTTTGACCATTGGCCCACTTAAAAGGGGAATTGTGAGCTAAAGGATAATGGAAACAGGAACAAGTTGGCTTTTTTCATAGTAGCTGTAGCTTGTTGGTCACTTTACTGTGTAACTTCAGATGCAGATTTAGAAGGGTATCACCCCCCTCTCCTGTGTGTGGTGGAGCTTGTCAAAGCTTTTCTATTTTCTCCCTGTGCTTTAGGACCAAAGCTCCCAGCACTAAGTGCTGGGAGAAGGAAGAACAAACACATCTTTACCTGTGGCATACAGCCAGATCCACTAGCCATCCTGTTAGTTATCCATAACTAAGATACAGTGGTTTCAAAGAGGACTAAGAGGTTATAAAGTATAATTCCTTTTATATTGTTGTCTCTTTAATATAAAGAAGAGAGCCCAGGAAAGTCCCCAGGCAATCAGGCGCAACTCATGAGAGAAAAAAAAGTTCAATACACTTAGGTGTAAACACAGAGTTGATAACAAGTCTGTCAATTTGTTTTTCCAGCTATGCCTCTATCAAAGGAGTCCTTATGTGCAGTCTGTGCTACAGCAGAGTAGTATTACTCAGTTTTATGTGTCCTTTCCATGTTGCACTAAGGTGGTGTGAGTTACTGGACAGCGTTGTTATATGCCAGTGGTTACGTGCCTGTAAATATTTTCCAAGCAAGCTGTGAATCCCTAAGCAATACTTGTATCAGCACTCTCTTCTCCGTGGTGCCCAGCAACAGGACAAGAGGCAATGGGCAGAAACTGAACCACAGGAAGTTCCATCTGAACCTGAGGAAAAACTTCTTCACTGTGAGGGTGACAGAGCATTGGAACAGGTTGCCCAGAGAGGTGGTGGAGTCTCCTTCGCTGGAGATATTCAAAACCCGTCTGGATGTGATCCTGGGCAATATGCTCTAGGTGACCCTGCTTGAGCAGGGAGGGTGGACTAGCTGATCTCCAGAGGTCCCTTCCAACCTAAACGATTCTGTGATTCTGTGATTCTGTGAATTTGTTTTTCCAGCTATGCCTCTATCAAAGGAGTCCTTATGTGCAGTCTGTGCTACAACAGAGTAGTATTACTCAGTTTTATGTGTCCTTTCCATGTTGCACTAAGGTGGTGTGAGTTACTGGACAGCGTTGTTATATGCCAGTGGTTACGTGCCTGTAAATATTTTCCAAGCAAGCTGTGAATCCCTAAGCAATACTTGTATCAGCACTTGAACTGGTATCTTCATCTAGAGCGTCTGAGGAGAAATCTCCCCTCATTCTTTATCTTCTTCAGCTCTTCCATGCCCAACAGAAAAAGCCATGCTTTGCTAGCTCCATGGAGACTCAGCTAGGCCCCAGTACAAATAGGTGAGCACCAGGCTGCCTGATGCATGAGAATGTAAGGCGGTGGTGCAGAACACCATTCACAGCAAATCCTGGAATAACTGCTCATTCATGTGAGCCTGAAGTTTGCCCTGCTTCTGCCTGCAGGCCTCATCTCAGCTGTTCACTTTCATTTTTCCAAATCCTTGATAACAGTAATATAAATTTGCATTGCACAGGGGGAAATGCAGCGTGTGAGAGTTAAGTTCCTTCCCTAAAATTCCACAAGAAAATTAAGATGGAGCTAAGAACTGAGCTCTGTTCTTTGAAGCCTAGGCTGTAATGGCTGCTCTATATCCTCAGGAAGAGTCTGTGGTTCTTATAGGTAGAAAAACACAGTTTTGTTTGCTTATATAAATACATTCTTTGTTGCTTTTGGCTTGATGCTTTCATCTTATGTATGCCATACAAACCAGGGAAAAGCAAGGGCAGAAGGAGACTGTAAGCAAGCAGAAGATGCCTGCTTCGTCTACTTGCAGCACTAATGTAAGTTGCAAAGGAATGGAAAATTAGACCCAAAGCTTTTAAGCCAAAACTTCAAACAAAGCACCTAAAGCACGTGCCTAAGGTCACACAGGGGAGTAGTCGTACTGACCTCAGCAGCACTACCAGGAAATGTAATGTGAAGTCTAGCAGGCTAGTGTTTTGCTGAACACTGCCTGAAATCACTCCTTGAATGAGGTATGCTATGAGGGTACCTACAGCTTTGAAAGGCAAGATCACCAGCTGAGCATGAGCCAGCTCAGAGTCAGTCCCGCCTGCAGGAATCCTGCAGTCTGTAGATTCATCCCTGATGTGGCATTACAAAGCCTGTTGCTTGTTCAGTGCCACATTTTTCTCACTGTTCTAAAGGTGGGATGAAAAAAGTGCCTTGGGACAAGTTTTCCTCCTCTTTGTAGCCCTCGGTTGTCATTGTCTCCTGGGCTGTCCTTCGGTGTAGCTGGTTTACCTCCAGTGATGTCTGCTTTTCAGAGGGGTGGGAGTGCTGGAGCCCTGTGCATGGACATTTGTGATCTCTGGCGTTGTAATGGGATACATAAGGCTCATTTGTCGTGTGCTCTTAACACCAAAGTGTCCCTGCAGTGTGGCAGAAGCTTAGTGCAAGAAGATCAGACATACAGTCTTTCTGGTTTCTTACCGCAAAGTCAAATTAAAAACACAGCTGATATGCCCGCAGTACTTTTCCTATTACTGCTTCTCTGGATGAGCTGAATGCTAACGATGCTGGTTGTCTTGGGGCTTCTCTGACTCTTGTATGGCTCAGTCATCACAAGGTGCTTTTAGAGCACAAACGTATGGGAGCTCAGGCTGGAGTGGAACGATCATGTGCAGCTTGTGATGCAGCTGCAGATGAAACAGATGGCATGATTTTGGAGTTCTTTAATTGTTTATAATGACTGACTAGTGGATAGAGATGATTAACGTTACCGTGATGCTTCCCAAAGCCTCAGCTGCAGGTACAATGTTTTGTGGGCTAGGACAACTGCCCTCCCTCCCCCCACCAAATCTCGTAATACTTGCACCCTTTGAGGGAAAGCAGGTGGAGACAGTGAATAGTGAAGGTATGGATGTGTAGATGCTGCAGGATCTAGCCTTTGGAGCCTCCTCAACTACAGAAAGCTACAGACTTTGAGTTAGTCTCTTAGGCTTCCTATATAATGTGGGGCGAGGACCAGGCTCTTATATCTAGGACCTAAAAAGCCAAAGCATTAGGCAGTGCTCAGTAGGAAATGCTGAAGAGATGGACATGTGCCCCTCTTTCTGGGACTTTGGCATGTGACTTTGGGTCGCAGGATCTCCCCTGGCTCTGACTGGGATCTACAGCCCTGTGGCTTTTCCTGAGCGGTGCTCGAGCTGCTCTCCCAGAGCAGCTGGCAGGAGATGGGCAGTGGTAGCTCTCCTGTCTGCAGTCTGCCTATTTGAGGTTGGAGCACTTGGTCAGGATGAGAGAAAACCAATTTGAAATTTCTCCTCTGTCTAAAGAGACTTGCACCCACACCCTTCATCTCCCACCAGTGAAGTATTTTGGGTTAGGGATTGTAAGACACGGCTCGACTCTCCAATTTGCAATGTTTCATGTATTGAATGGAATAACTTGGTAAATATTAACTGATAAAGAGGAGGCAAGGGCAAGCTAGATCAGGCTCTCACATGGGAGAGGGGACATCTAGGCTCTAAATGCCTTTTCAGAGAGCGCAGACTGTAAAATACTCACCATTGACTGCTAACTGTGCCAGCAGCTGAAATGATCCAGCTGAAAAGAGCCCTGGGAGAGGAGAGCAACAGCAAACTCTTGCCTGAGGGTTCAAAGGCTCTCTTAAATCCTTCAGCCCCCACTCATGCTGAGCAGGCTGCCTGCATTTTACAAATAAAGGAGCTAGGGCACCAAGAGGTGAAAGGACTTAGGGAAGCTCTCACACACAGCAAAGCCACATTCAGGTATTCCTGCTCTAGCGCTGCTCCTAGCCAACTGGTGAATACAATAGTTTTCTAAGTTTTTAACAATGTCAAATAAATATAACTGAAATAACTGCTGTTTATATCCTGTTCCTCATCAGCAGCCCCTCTGAAGGGAAAGGAACAAGCAGTGAGGAGATGGTTGGGCCTAATGTCAGAATTTCCTCACCAGAGTAAAGAGTCTGAAATAGCCTGCCATACTGTAGTTAGCTTTCAAAAAAGAGAGGCCAAGATCTAAACAAATAACTAAAGTCATATGTACTCCTCATATACTCCTAGAAGTGAGCACCTCTGGTGAATACGTGGTAGCCCTTTGATATGCCAGCAAGTCACTATCACTTTTGAAGACTAAATCTGGGCACTCAATGACTTTGAGAGGGGCCTCAGAACCTCAGCTTAGACTCATCATTTTGAAAAATCTGGAGTAGACATCCCAGAAAAGAAATGATTTTGCTGCCTTTGTCTTAGCACGTATGTATATTCCTTTCTCTTCTTCACTTCCATAGTAGAAGATGACATGAATTGTCCTGAAAGGTCTATCGTAAAGCTGAAATCATCTACTGCTTATTACTGGCATTTTTTGTTTTCCTCCAAACTGTTATTCATTCATATGGTATCTCAACAGTCCGCCTGCCTTAGTCCACTCTCCTGCTACAGATCACCAGGATAAATCTGTAGCAAACACTTCTGCTACACTGAGTCTTACGGATTTTACTACATTCTCCCATTGCATTTGCTTTTTAAGAATAAAGGGAACATCCTTGTTCCTACCATGTTCTTTGAATCTTACCTTTGTTATCAAACTCGTATAATTTTCTACTCAGTGAAAA